GCTGCTTGTAATAATGGTTTCGTTGGTGGGTCGCGGTTACGTTTGGGATGAGCTCTAGAGGGCGCGCATCGGCGGGGATTTAAATATGTTAGCGCTCAACATAATTGGATCGACTTTGCGATTGAGGACGAAGATGCCGAATTTATACAGCTGCTCCGAATAAATGCACCTTCAAGAAAGAGTGGCCCATAACCCGGTGTGACCAACGTTCGACCTGTCAAAACGTACGGATGATCAGCGTTTAAACAACTTCAGATCTAAGAAAGATGATATTTATCGCCTCAGTAATTTACTTGGAATTCCAGAAAACATCACACTGAAAAAAATGCTTCAACCTGAAGAAGCTGTACTGATGCTGTCTGCGTAGTTTTAAGAAGATTGGCATATCTAAATCGCCTTTCAGACCTTGAAGAATGGCTTGGCTAACCCAAATCAACTTTGTCCCTGATTGTTAACCGTACTGTATGGTCACACAATGCTCCTATTAATCGTTCGTATCATCTGCAATGAGGGAATCTGTAGCATCCCTAACAAAAAACTATCGTGACCATGAAATTTTCATTGGGCTCTGCTTCCGATTACATGCCTTCAAAAAAGGTCGGTCGGTCGGAAAAAATTTTGTTGGGTGGGGTCAGTTTTTTGTGCTTATTGAATGGGAACGAAAGCCACCAAAAATTACCATAAAAAGTGATAAAAACTTGCATTAAAGGAACCATGCAATAGAAATGGAATTTTAATACATGTTAATAAAACCCTTGAAGTTGGGTTTCAATTAAGCAGGCAAACTTGCCACTTTTTTCCAGCATGCATGCGCATGTCCAGAAGAAACCACGAGGTTTTGTAGGTAGGGACAATTTGTCACTGAAATTACATGTGAAGCAAGATATAAGACGGACAGAACCCCCTTGCTTTGTGTTGGTCATTGTCTCACTTGAATCTGACGAATTCTTTTAAGACATCTAGAGGGGATGTGTCAGGTAACAATACTCTAGAGTGTGTATAGCGATTGGACATGTGGGGGGGTACCCCTCGGTCTCATTTCTTGCTGGGAATACTACATTAAGCGATACATATGTAAAATATATGAAAATGATATTTCAGTATATTCTGCAAATCAATGACAAGACAGGCTGGTATAGTTGGGTTCCTACGTTGGTTTAGATTTGGAAGTGGTTTGCGACTTTTGCCAGCAAATTGTTTTACCGTTTATATCAATAATAATGATATTTTATTGATTAGATTGGGCTTATTCCATAGCAAATGTTCACGCATCGCAGTAAAACCCAGAAGTAACATATTACAATTAAAACACTTAAAAATGAGTAATAAATATCAACATGGCATTGCCCAGTTTAAGTGTTGAATGGAAATTTTGTATTGACAACATGTTCCGTTCAAGATAGACTACTTAATTCTACATGCACTGGTATTGTTCAATAAATCAAAGCGAGAAAAACTTTTCAAATCAGTTTTTGTAGTTTTCACCTCCCTGCTGATATTGTACGAATCTGCAAACAAGAATCACTTGATACATTGTGCTTGTATTAACATATATGCTTGTGTACATGTTACACAAGATGAAACCTGTTTGTTATAATGTACTGGTACCTGTTGTGTCTGAATAAAGAATGATTTTGGAGAGTCAAATTTATTTGGTTTTGAAGTAAAAACAAAACAAACAAATCAGCAGAAATGTCTTTGAGTAAGATCTTTGGAACCCTGGTTTGAGATGCCAGGAATGAATAGATTGAATCAAAGAGCATCTACAGCCCGTAAACTACCAGGTCCCTCGGTGCGCCCTAGTCCATGGAGGTTTGGACTCACTGCTGTCTACGTTCATCCATCTGCCTGTTACTCTTAAACATTTTGAAACTCCTGTACATGCCATCTGAAACACCTACCCAGCACCATCCCCAAAGAATAAGCACCAACACCAAGGTGTCTCCACAAATTTTCACCGGCCATTACATCACTGCAAAAAGTGTTTAATACCTCCTTGGTAAATGAAACCGTAACAAGTATCATGAAAAAAGTTTCTTAACGTTTGTCAGAATACTTCTACAAGAATTAAATACTGGTATAGTAAGTCATATCTACTTACGCCCTCCATGAATTCATTTCCTCGTCTGAGGTGTGCCTCTTGTAGATGGCGAAGGCGGTCTTTACAGGTTGGCAATGTCACATACACATTTCTCTCTTTCAGAACATCATTGAGCTTCTTGTGAACTGACTCCCATGACAATTTATTACTGGGACTAACAGCAATTACCTCCCTCGACAAGAGGCTATCCAGTCCTGGATAAAACCTGGCACTTTTCTTCCCCTCAGATTCCGTTCTGGATAAAAACGGAAATAAATGGATACTAAATTTAAAGTATTCTTAAAATACACTCTGAATGATACAGGTTGATAAATAACCTATCATAGGTGCATGACCATCATGACAATGTCCATGACCTCAACAAGTTATGTATTAGAGGTATTTCTGCAACTTTCACCTCAAAATTACAGATTTAATAAACATCCACTTGTAGTTAGGTAGATTCAAAGGCACATCAGGAAAACAGCATACATTATCAAAGTTGAAAACAAAACTTTGGCCATGCTGTCTCCATCATTGATCAATGTGTGGCTAGCAACCAAGGCCTAATCATGATGCAATGTTTCTTTTTTGCAACACTTTAAAAGCTTTTTTAGCACAAAATCCTCCGTATGTATTGCTACTATAGCTGTTGAAACAGAATGAGTCATGGAAGTGATCTATATCCCCGCTCTGGGATTAACCGGGGCCTAGGCTTGGATTAACACAACGTGAGCCTATAGCTTACATTGCCAGCCTGGCCAACCTACCGGTACCGTTCGCATTACAACCAAAAAGCTGAACCACTGGAAGTTTTCGATGGTCTACTGAATGAAAAACATAATGCACAACACACAATTATCTCACAACATGACTGATTGTCTTGTACGCAAAAAATGTGCGAAAATTACTGCTTATTTTATCCATTTCTTACTTACGTTTGCGCAGTCTTCTACGTGTAGTGACTAGCGCATGCCGGCATACTACTATCACCGATGATGCGATTACGTACGTTTAGAACATCACAACAGCACATGAACTGATGACGTCACAGCAACAAAACGTAGTCGTTGATCTAACCGTACACTAACGAAACCTCTCCATCTGACGAAAGCTCACTAATGCCATAAATTGTACATTTTTAACCGTCGAATTATATTTTTGAAATTCATTTTTCCGAGAGCTAAATACAAATTCATTGTTTCTACTTTTGGAAAAACAGTTTTCATGAGATATTGTTATCATAATAAAACGAACTTGAAAATAAACATGTCATAAAGCAAACGATTCTTTTCCCAAAAGAGAAACGATGTTTCTCTAAAAGTAGATATTGTCAAAACGAGCACGAAAAACTACAAAACACAGTCTTTGACGAGGTATCCGCCCTGAAATGAAGTGCACCCCCACCGGCGAAAGAAAGACAGCTTACCAAGCTTTCCGATCGGGTTCTTCGGCGAGCACGCGAAGACCATACATTCAAGACTACAAATTCGTTGCGCGAACTCAGCGTGCTCCACGTCAAATGCGCATAAACTTGCGAGCCAATGCGGTGAATGCGTACCAAACATTGATGTCCATGATCAGTGGTACCAAAGGACCGTCAATTCGATTTCAAAACGCGCCCTCTTTTGTTCCTGCTCGGAGCGGATACTCTATGGCACTAATGGGCTTTCGTAGTATCTGTATAAGAACTGGGTCTGCGTCTTCGCCGGTTGCCGTAGACCCATGTTCTACATAAACGTCGCTGTAGCCGTTACTTTTTTAAACGTCCTCTAACTCACTGAATAAGACGTTATGGTCTTACTTGAGGGCGCTCAACCTCGTCGAATACAGAACGATGATTTTAATCCAACCATATGCAGATGGAATAACCCCTGAGGTCATGCTTGTTAAAAAATTGTGTTTAGAATAAAGGAAATATAAATGAGCAATGAAAAAACTGAGACATAGGGTAAACAAAGCTTGGAGTGAAGGGGTTTGGGAACACTGCCAAGCAGACACGTGGTCACTGCGCTCTCAAAACTATCAATATCATCGTGCTACATATGAGTTGCATTCCACGTTTTTCCCTCAATCCTTTGCGGTCCGTCATCTTTGATGTCAGGCCGTGTTCAAAACGCCCATATTGTGAAATTGAAGGCTTCGGGATGCCATTTCGAACGTCACACAGTGAGCATTTGTGGTCTTAAATGTCTTTTGCAGGCACGGTATAAAATCAAAGATGGCAGATGTAAATGGCTCGTGGGAAATTTGGGCGTCGTCACGAGCAGACTGTGATACTCAGGATAATTGTGATATCGGACGCTTATCTTTTACGGCCTTCCTGCTGTCTAGGGAACACTTGCTCAGATTCTTCTGGCGAATATGCCTTTCTACCTTGCTTTATCAGACTTAATGTACGGAATATGACAGGGATATTATTTACATAGGCTCTGTGACGTCCAGAAGAGGGATTACCACTAATGACGATAAGCCTTATCACTGTGGTAAGCTGATACACACTGTATCGCAGCAATGCCAAATTGCTTTGGGAGACAGAACAACTGTGCCGTAAACTGCCACTTGGGAACAGTTTCGAATATTTTGCTTCAAGACTGGGTTCCAGTCGGCAGACTGGTTCATCTTGGTTGTGGAGGACAGTAATATTTCAATAACACGGACCGGTAATTGAGAGTAATTAAGCAGCTAGGACAGTTAATGAGTTTGCTTTGCACTTCGGCTCAACTACTCCCACGAGGTTTCGTGCACTGTCACTTTTTGGAAGGGCTGTACTTGTCAGTGACTGATACACCATGTGGTTTAGAGACGTTTAAAAGGCTTCACAAAGTTTCATAACTGCGTGTTGACCTCGGCACGGAATACATGCAAAGGAGACGAGGCTGCAGCCTTGCCAAAGCCGTGACGATATACACTATTCAGCATGGGCATTGCAGTAAGCAACATTGCCGAGTCCTGCACCCCCAACAACACGTTGGACTTGTCGTCAGACGAAGAACTGGCTGGCGAGCTGTCCTACACCAATGCCGATCGGATCATCATCACCATTGTGAACCCGTGCATCCTGGCCGTGGGCCTGCTAGGCAACCTGGCGTTCCTGTTCGTGATGCTCCGCGTGCGCCGCATGTGGACTGTCACCAACATCTACCTGACCAACCTGGCGGTGGCCGACACGTCCTTCCTGGTCATCGGGGTTTCCGAGAAGATCGCCCGCTACCGCGCCAGCCCGGTGTCCGGCGACCAGGGTATCTTTGGACCTGGTGGCTGCATCGTCGTTTACGTCCTCCTCGACGTGGCCTATTGCGTTGGGCTCTGCCTCGTTACCCTGGTCACAGTGGAGAAGTACTACGCCATCTGCAGACCTGTCCAGCACCGGCTGATTGGCGGCAAGAAGCGCACCAAGAGACTGGTGCTGGCAGTGTGGTTGATGGCGTGGATCTTTGGTCTTGGTCTGCTCCCAACCTGGTCCAACTTCGTGGCCGTCTGCGCAGCCTGGCCAGAGACCGAGGCTTTCGCTGATCACCCGCTAGTTGTTGGATCCTGCCTCCCCGAAGCAGTATGGCTCGTCGATTTCCACAACGGCCTCCAGGCGGTTCCCTTCTTCGTCAGTCTAGTCGTCAATGCTGTCCTTTACATCCTCATCATCAAGCGTCTGAACACTCGCGTCGGCGCGGTGAACAATGAAAACTCCATCGGGCAACAGAGGAAGAACCTCCGGCAGCGGGTCCGCAACCAGGTGACCCGAATGCTCATCATCAACGGTTCCATATTCTTCGCTTTCATGGCCCCTTTCCAGTGCTCCTCATTCGCATTTGTCATCAGCAACTCGACTGGGAACTATGTCTTGAACAACGAACAAGTAACGAAGTTACTCTGGGTAACACGTACTCTGCTGTACCTCAACCCTGCCATCAACCCATACATATACGTCATTACAAATCCCAAATACCGCCAAGCGTACGTGCAGGCCTTCACATTTCGTAGCAAGAACCGCCGGGTGCCTTCTACAACTATGGTCGATGAAATGTCAACCTACGTCCCCTAACTTTCGCTTGCTAAATCATTATTAATGGTCCATCAATGTCCTTAGAGTCGTTCATAGTGTACCATACGAGAATCAATGTTAGAAGATATTTAAAAATACTTAAGGTCTAGACTCGGTGATGGTATCACGAGCAGAACACTTTTGATTAACTGACGCTTATTCTTTACAAACTTCAAATTGATAGATCGAGCAAGACATGACGAAAAAAAATTAAAGTTTGGAATGAATTAGAATTCTTGTAAATTGCCTCATAAATTCCCGTTGTTACCTAAGCCTATGTATAGATTTAACACCTCAAAACATTACGCTATTGTGTATCCCTAAAAGACAGTTTGTTTAATTTACGAAAATGTATGAATTCATATTTTTGTTTTGGGCTCTTCTGAGAGAGAAATGTAAAATGCGAAATTGTATTTCACCTCATGACTCAAACCAAACTAAATTTGTTGCCAAAAAATACATAGTAGAAAGCAGTTGCGTAAATGAGTAGGTCGAAAATAGGGGTGGGGAATTTGTGGTCATGGAATTTTGAAAACGGGGGGGTGGTGACACATTATGACACTACATGTATATAAGATGATGCAATAGCCCAGCCCCCGCCCCGGTCAAAAAGTGGAGGGGATACATCCATCTCCCGGGATAATGGTAGTGAAAGCCACACAGGACAACAGTAGCCCCCTACAAACAAACAAGCTAAAAAAATCAGGCTTTGGTCACAAATTACCTTGCACAAGTCATCACCTTAAAAAAAGCTTCGATACTAGAGTCGCCTGATGTGCCCAGGTTAACCCACAGTGTTGGCTTATCTTCATACCGGTGAACATTGTACCCTGTCTTTTGTTTCGGAGCCAATTAAGGTGATGTGAATATGTCTGCAGCATATCTTAATTAATTCGCATGACATTTGGCACCGAGATAGTCAAGCGTCCCCGGGCAACAGAATCAATAAAAAATACGCAGTTCATGTTCTAAGATGAACAAGTGTATTGTTGGTACTTATCAACAAACCGTTAGTTGATTTTTTTCACCACAGAAGGTCCGGGGAAAGGGGCAGTTCGGATCTTTATATAAATGGCAAAGAGTGGTTCTTAAGGCCTTGGCTCATACCAAACGGTCGGTCTTAAACCAGTATTTTTCAGAGTTGTAAACTCGAGTCACTTGACTTGGACTCGAGTCAGACTCTAGTGGCTAGATTTGTGACTCGTGACTTGACTTGTAACTGTCAGTTTTTGACTTGTGACTTGAGTTGGAATCGCAAAAATTGCCTTGCTACCACCCCTGGTATTTTTCACAGTATGGAGTGAAGGAAGCCAAAAAGGAAAAAATTGTTGGCAGGTTACTGTTATTGCTATGCAGTGGCGTTCTTGAGTAGGGCGATGGGTGTACATCGGGTTGTATGGACCAACTTTTCACGTTCGATTAATTCAGGGCGATGATCAGATGACTCAGGATGAAATTTTCCTGCCAATATGAACACTCATGAAAAGGTGGTAGGGAAGCCTATCTCCGGTTGAAAAAAGCTCTCTCTACCTCATAGAAACAAAGAGAGTTTTGAAATCTAATTTCATTTAAAATTTCGGGGGAACACAAGCTCAAAGTCCCATTCAGACCTAACTTTACCGTACTTTTACAGATCTCCAAAGTGCAAGGGTCAACTAGCCCCCTGTCACGAGAAAAGCCGAAATTGGGGCACTCAAATCTTCAGTCGGTCGGTGCAGATAAGTTACGCTTTTTCTAACTGCTCCAGCAATCAAGCATGTGGATGAACGGTTTACGTAGGAGTGTGCCATCCTTATACTTTGATTGAGATGGAGGGAGACGTTTATGCGGTTAAAAGGGCAAAGGTTGAGGGATAAATACTTACCCCCTCCCCCCACTACGCACACTTACACGTAGATGTCGCCTGACCTGGTCACCATTAATCCGAACGAAAATATTACAATCACCCAGCAACTATCACTCAAATTGATTGATGTCGTAACATGCTTGTGGTAACTTGTATGCGTATCGCTACATCGGGGTATCAACGGATCGGATTACGCCCTAGTGTAACAAAACAGCCTTAGTCGGGTCTCAAATAATTGGCCTGAACTATGCGCTTGGACCCGGAGTAACGGTTGTGACAACATGTGCCGACGTTTCCAAAACACGATGTGTCCGGTGGTTTTGTTTTAAAGGCTCTACCTTGTGAGAAAAATTAAACCCAAGGATACCAGACTTTGGCGCTCTGTAAATGTGCCTTTATATGGAAGTGTGGAATTGAACATTTACGGATATGGACTGGCTTTATTTTGACCCGGCGTCATCTAGCAGGGAACATGATATTTATACAGAGCTGAGAAGAATTTTGTGGCAGCATTATGGCGAGCTCACTTCAAACGCCCGACTTAATTATCAACCTGACCGCAGAACCTGATGCACTTCTTTACACCTATAGCTACGCGGAAACAGTGGTCATCACTGCTCTCTACCCCATAATCCTTGCATTGGGCCTCTTTGGAAACTTTGCCTTCCTCTTCACGATAGCTCGCGTCCGCCGCATGCGAACGGAGATCAACGTCTACCTGGGTAGTCTGGCCTTCACCGCAGTGGTGCTGCTGGTGGTGGGAATATCGTCCACATTGGCTCGGTACAGGGCGAGCCCCGTGCCCATCGACTCCACCTCCTTCGGCCCTGTCGGCTGCGCTGCAGTCTCCTTCCTGCAAGATGTCTCCACCTGGGCCGCCCACGCGTTTGGAGTGGCCGTGCCGATCGTCCTGTACCACGCCACGTGCCGGCCTCACCTGTTCCGGCGACTGCGGGGCATGAAACGCGCCATCGTCACCTCTGCGTGGCTTTGGGTCGTTGTAACGTGCATCGGGCTCTGTTTTTTACCGACATGGTGGAATTTCGTTTGGTATGGTCTAGTATGGGCGAATCTCGAACAGTACCAGGATTACCCGGAGGTCATTGGAGTGTGTTCAGCCGCTGCAGAATGGCTTGTCATCACTCACGACCTCTTGCAGTCCACTACTTTCTTCCTCTGTGCGTTAAACGGCAACATCATTTTTGCAATCATCATCAGAAGCCTCCGTAAGCGATTCCGGTCGATCGGGCTACCGTCAGGTACCGACGGCAACCGTAAGAGTGCCGGGGCGCAGGCCGTCAAACGAAATAAGAGCCGCCGCCAGGTGTTCCGCATGGTCGTTTTGAGTTCCGTGGCTTTCTTTGCTTTTCCGATGCCGTACGACTGCATCCTATTCGCCCAGTCTGTCGCGAGGCTCACCGGCAAACGTGTCCTCGCCGACGAACAATTCAAAGCTTTACTGTTTGCCTCGACAACTTTACTGTACGTAACACCAGCCATCTGCCCTTATATCTATGTCCTCTCTAACCCTGGCTACCGCATCGCAGTGGTGCAGGCTTTCACGAAAAAGCCTGGAGGCAGGAGTAATCGTTCCGTCGGAGGAGGAGCGGAGATGTCAACATTAGCTGGGTGAAAAACAAAGCTCGACCTACATTCCTAAGATTTGTCATCGATGCATGAATTGCTACGAGAAACAAATGTCAGAACGTAATGAGCCTGGACATGCAGTGCCTGCACCCCCCCCCCCCGATATCATTGCAGCGACTGTATTGACGCCCTTAGCCATCATAAGATCTCTACCGGTGCCTTGAGGGTGTTGAGAGCCCAATATCATGGAAATCAGACGTACCGTTCTCACGAAATATCAATTTTCGAACGCACAACGATAAAAACTGAACTTTTTTCCATGACTATCCATGGACAATGAAAGTGCGTGCGGAAGGATCCGAATGGATTATACAAGGCATGGCATCATAATCAGCATTACAGAGAGTTTTTTATTTACTTATGTCTGTTTTGGACTTAAATACTCAGTTATCAAAACCATGGACAAAGTAACCCAAAATGATTTGCATACATGTTATATAGCAAGCACTTTGCCTTTTGGTATGTTTTTTTTATGTCTTATACCATTCAAGGTAGTATTCAAGATAAGATACTAAGATAAGATAACGTTACAAATTTACAGAAAATTTGACAATTGAATTGTAACTGTTTTGCACCTACAGCATTTGCAACTAAGTAAAACGCAAATAATAACCAGAAACAATGTTTATTTAAACCGTGGTAACTTTCAAAAACTCCCTCGTTAAAAATAACACCGATGGAGTAGAATTTTATTATTTACTCGTGTTTAATTTACGCAAGGCTTTTGGTATTAAATAACACTAGGCAAAGAATTAAAGAATTTTACACCAGTTGTGGTGTTTAATTTAACACCAAGGGGAAATTCGTTTATTCCAAATTGGTGTTAATTTTGGGCAAGGCTTTTGGTGTTAAATGAAACAAATTTTGGTGTTTGACTTTAACAACAAAGTAATTCCAATGATGTTTATTTTGGGCAAGGAATTTTGTGTTAGGTAACACTAGCCCTGTTATTTGGCATTACGAGAAGCCACACTTATACTGGTGTAAATTTCAATACCCGAATGGTGTATGCTCAACTACAGTGGTCCTTGGGGAATCGTTTTGCTTTGGTGTTACACAATATCTGGAAATTGAAGAAATTATACAAAGAGGTTTGAATTTCAAATAACAAATCTATCGGCGACAGGACATTTAACTTGATCATGTATTACTGCTACGTATATTTTGAAATCTAAACAGATTTGCAAAATCTTGTACAAAAAATTTGTACATGTATGTGACGTTATAGTTGGCCCTCATGAGAGGACACTGGGTACATGGCATGCCAATATTAAGCCAACGAAATTACTCTATGGGCTGAAACGTGTTTTGTGTTTGGCTATTTGGATATTTTGTCTTCGGTTTTAGCTCGGATGGAGTCTTTTTAAAGGCATTCCTTTCCCTAGGCTGTATGCCTATCATGTAGGCCGGTAATACTCCTCCGTAACACCAAATTCCATTCAAAAAGAATAAAATGATTGGTGTTACAAATCTAACTTCATAGTTTTTGCAGTGTAATAATGATTATCATAGTCACAAGCAAAATAGCGTTCATGATAATCATTATCACGATTATAATCATGTTCATCCTCAACGTAAACATAATCATAAGAGTCTTCGTTGTCACGTATTTGCTTCTCCCAGTTTGCCTCTTCATCAATATCATGCTTGATTTTCTTGCACACGGGGCATCTTTGGATACCTTTTCTCAGCTGAGTTTTGCTGAAGTCTGCGCGGGGAAACCTACGATGGCAGCCGACGCACTCTGTATGAGCTGAAGGAAAATGGAGGCTCCCCTTGGCGAGGATCACGTACATTGGCAAAAAACGCATTGGCTTCGTACTCATCATAAAGGCGAGAAGGGCGCGATCGGAAGAAGTCGAGGTACACGTCCGAGGCAACGCGCAGTCGCTGGACGTTGTGACCACTGTACACGTGTTTCAACTCACCATACAGTTTAAAGAAACCCATGACGTCACACGCTGCGTACTTCAGCATGACACCACTCAAGGGGCGCTCAAGCCAGACATCGGTTCTGTGCATCTTTTCTTTCCCTTCTTCTTTCGCTTTGATGAGGTCTTCGTCCTTCACATACTCTTTCAGGCAAGATAAAAAACTCTCAACTCGAGGGTGCTCTTCCAAAATTGTGCTCTGTTCAAACTCTTGGTCCAGCATCTGCGTCACATTGAAAGAGTCGGAGAGGTTTACATTGCTGAAAAAATTAAAATGAGGGTCTGGTGCTATACTCTGTCACTAATCCAAACAGAGGTACAACTTTGTTAGATACAAACTGAAATCAGAAACGAAGAGAGGGACACATCAATATTGCTGAAAAATAAGCTTATAGAGGAGACAATCCCAAAAAAGTTTCAGGAACAAATTTTTTTCCTATGGGGAAAATGTATTTACGTAAGCTTTTAACTAACAACAAATATCCGAGCACGGACGACCAAGATGGAAGAGAATTACCTGAAGAAGTTG